GGTCTATGTTGGGTCTACGTTGGGTCTATGTTGGGTCTAAGTTGGGTCTATGTTGGGTCTAAGTTGGGTCTATGTTGGGTCTAAGTTGGGTCTATGTTGAGTCTATGTTGGGTCTATGTTGAATATATGTTGGGTCTACATTGAGTCTATGTTGTGACTATGTTTGGGTCTATTTTGGGTCTATGTTCAATCAATGTTGGGACAATGTTTGGGTCTCTGTTGGGACTATGTTTGGGTCTATTTGGGGTCTATGTTCAATCAATGTTGGGACTATGTTTGGGTCTCTGTTGGGACTATGTTTGGTCTATGTTTGAGTCTTTCACAGGGAACCAACATTTAAAACTTTCTCAGTATTTAAAGGGGCGAGCATCATCTCCACCCAGATTCACATCCATCCATAAAAACATAATTTAATAATTTACCTTCATCTTCCCATTTCTCTTTGATCTTTGTTGGGACGTTTTAGACAACAAGCTTTTATATAATTTCCTTTCTACACCTTTAGTCAAGTTATTTTCCTAGACCTTCAAGAGAACATTCAATATCGGATCACTGATATCTGCTAGTAATAATATTCTGTTGGAAATCTGAGAAAGTTATTAAGGTGATAATCTGTCCAAATCTTCATTTCTCCATTCTGTGTTGGTGAGTAAAATATCGACACCAGTTTAAAATTAATTTTCCAAATCTTCCATCCATCAGCTCGGGTCTGAACACGATCAAAAGTTCACCAGATTTGAATATTGTCTCATTTCTCTTCCTCCCCCATATCAACCCATATTTTGATTGATTACTAGTTTGTGGATTTTGGATGTAATTATCCAAAGTTTGATGAGATTGTATTAATTGGAGGATCCTTCATTTGTGACGTCTAACAGCGTTGTAAAAGCAATTCTGTTTTTACAGCTTGTCTTCTATCTGTGCTGCCAAATATGGCCGTAGCTATGTTGGAGATTAGTGTTGAGTGCTTTTAACAAAGTTTTACAGATGGTGGACCAATAGGTTGCCAGGGCCGGACCAAAATGTTTGTTAAAAGGCTCATTCTTCATCTTTTTCCTGCCAGATAAATCTAGAAATAGTTTCTTACAGAATAAATATAAATACCCCTAATGGTCTCAGATCTTTGTATAAAAAGATTCTGCCGACTGAGTTGAAGCCTTTTCAGCATCCAAACTCAGCTGTAACCTGTTGTGGTGAATAAAGTGAAAGACAATCGTCTCTGGAAATCAAAGCCAGTTTGGTCTAAATGTACAAAATGTGGAAGCATGTTTTCCATCCTCTATTTTCCAAATTTAAAACAGAAATATGTCTGTAGGATCTACAAACGAATTCAGTGTTCCTTTCTTTAGGGATGACTGAAATCACTGCTTCATTCCATAAAGGGGCCATTTTTGATTAAAACTGTATTAAAAGCTCTGATATGATGAAGTGTTTTGAATCAGTGAGAAGAAAAGCCATCCAGGATACGCACCTTATTAGCCCTCTGTTCTTTTCCTGTTTTATCTGCTATTAATATCAGGCGTTTCTTTTATTAAGGAAGGCAGAGAACCTAAATTACGATATCCTCTATTTTGGAATCATTTCCTAAAGGTGGTTCTGCTTTTTTGATATGATCAAAAGTTAATCTTCTCGTTTGAACAACAATACTAAAGGTATAGTGGAGGATTATAAAGACACGCCCTCACCTCTTAAAAAAAAAAAGAAACTGCACATGCAGAACCCTGTACCCGCTCCTGAGAGGGAACGCCTAAAGAGTGTGAGAGCGTGTACGAGCCCATTTCTCCTCGTGCACGCTCTGTTTAAATGTAGCTGTTTGCATCTCTCATACAAGCTTAATTTCCAAAAGAAGATTTGCAATTTTTTCACTATGTCAGACTCACCAATGGTAAGAGGAAATGGGGACGAGCATGTAGGACAGCCTACGTAAAAATATCACCAGAATGATTGACAGTTAGGAGGACCACTGATTTAGATGATCCACCCAGAAGAACACCCGCCACTATACCTTTAACTGAGTGCCGTCTGCTCTTTGGCTTTGTGTCCTTCTAGATGGCTTGGATCCAGCTTCATAATATTTTTCCTTAACAATGATAATTTCTTATATCTATGGTAAATGTATTATCTTCTGCAGGTATTTTTTAAATCTAATTTAACAGACTGGAATTCTGGTTCTTTTTATGCTCATTTTCTATATTCCCTAATGGACTTTCCTCTGATTACCCTCCCGTGTCGTTAATCTCATGCCAGAAACAAACTGCACTTTTTCAGCATCACAAACATCTGTTGGGCAGGAAATCAGGGCATGATTCCATAAATCAGTAGAACCAACATCACCACTAATGATTATAAAATTATCACTCTCAAAAAGTAGTGTATTCAAGTAATATGTGGATGTGAATAATTCAGTTCAATTCAGTTTATATATATAGCACCAATTCACAACACAAGTCATCTCAAGGCAATTTACAGTTCAACCAGATCATCCAGTCAAATTGAATCAAAGTTTTCTATCTAAGGAAAACCTGTTGACTGTTTTTCAGAGCATTTTGACTGAACTCTTGCTTAGGAAAAGAGAGAATCTAGAAATTTGTGTTTTACAGGTGAGATGGTGGAGAAGCAGCACAGCCTGATGGAGCTGGGTGTCCAGCCTCACAGCTCCACCCAGATGGAGGGGAGCTCTTCTGAACCAAACCTCCACCAGCTCCCCCTTCTCTGTCTGGAGCAGGAAGACATGTCAGACTTCATTACTGTACAAGTCCAAAACGGTATGGCAAGTGAGTCATGGTGGCCAGTTGTCCTAAAAGTATCATCTAACATTACTGCAGTTATTTTATGTTGTAACTGAATATACATCCTCAATATCATTATGATCTCTTTACTTGCCTCTATTGTATTTTCCTTTACAACAATCTCATTTAAAACGACAGTCTCCAGTTCATAAAAAAACAACTATTTGAATTTCCATATTTGGAGCACTGCTGTTGGTGAAGGCCTGTGCTTTGACTCTATTGGTACCCAAGGAAAAACCCGACCATCTTCAGGTTGCTCTTCTTCTTTGCCAGGTCCCACCTCCTCCTTTTCTGATCGGTAACAGCTTCCATGCTTGTAATCTGATGTGTCAAAAGCACTTTGCACAACTGCCACTGGCACTTTGGTCGATCTACAAAACAGCACAAGTGTGCATTGGGCAGTTACAGAAGTAGCCATTCAAAATGGCCCTTCCCAGTCAAACGACAGAAGAATGGCAGCTCACTTCCCTCCAACTCCCAGCAAAATCCCCTCCATCTTCCAGCCACTGGAGTGACCCCCCCTTGCATATTTGTTTACTCTGACTCCTCCCTTTTACTGAATTACAGGATCTGACCAGGAGATGGTGCATCTCTTTAGATCTTAATGTCCACAAATGATATAATAATATTTTAGCACAAAGATTGATGTTTAAAAAAGAATAATAGGGGACCAGCGAAGAACCCATAAAGGAAAGTGGTGAAATTTTGAATGGCTACTACTGTAGGTCTGCAAGAGGATCATCAGGGACGATCTTC